AAAAAAAAAAAAAAACAATTTCATAGTTTCAGTAGTTTACTCACAATGATGCCAGCAGCACTTTTCTTCACCTTGTGTACTTTCAATAAGCAAAATACTGTAAATAATATACTTACTTTTATATATTCTTTATCCAGGTAAAAGTCACAAAAATTATATTTAGTACACAGGGTTACACATTTTTTAAGTAGTTTATCTTTTGACAATTGATTTATTACAAACATCCACTACTGAATCCAAAAATAACATCCATTCCTATCAATCAGGTCACGTTTTTATGCTTGGCTCATTTTTAAAATCCGAGTTTTTTTGTCTAAATGGATCATCATGGATAATTACATTTTTTGACATCTGTTGATTTTTTAGTATTGTTTCTCACCTGAATTGGATTTTTAAGATATAAATTGTTTTCTAACACAATTTTATTGATGAAATGTTACAAACATCGGTTACTGTAAATGTAACAGTCCGCCTTGATGGATTAATTAATGTTATGGACATGTAAGTGCATGTTATCATCATCATCATTGGTCCAAATTTAGGGCTTGAACTTCTGTTTCAGACAACTCTTGCCCTTTGTCCACTGACGCAGATACTCAGTGCATGCTTTGCTTACCATGTGTGGCGCCCAAGCTTTGTCCTGATCTCCAAGTTTCATACCAAAATAAGCATGGTAAGCACGCTTTATGATGTTAGGCACAAGAGTGTATGCGCCGCAGATCTAACAGAAAACATCCGGTTTATTTCTGCAAGGTCTGGTTGAAGCCAATTTCATTTTTATGCAATATAGATGCTTTTCACTAAACTCTTACTAAAATGCCATGACCGGAAGCGAATTATGTAAATGACGTTTCACAATTGATGACATCGTTCATTAACTTGCATTCTGAATATGTAGGTAATTTCATTTCTAGGACGTGAAATAAATGAAATTGAAACAAAATAAAAAATGCATGTAAACGGAATCGTAAAAAAAAAAAAAAATCAAGATTTGCCTATAGCTCAAAAGGTTGACCTGATGGAGGAAAACAAATGTGATTTTTTGATTCAGCTCATCGAAATGTTACTAAGTCAGCTGAAAAAACTTAGACTATATTTTTTGTGTTGACCAAATAAATATGTATAGAGAGAGGGACAGGGAGAGATGGTCAAGAATGCAGAAGAGTTTATATTACATAATAAAAATACAATTGTTATTCAGTATTTATATCCTTTGTCTGAAAATTGAACTGTGTAATAAAATCAGATCAGCAACAAATCAAAAACAGCTTCTTTGARCAAAAAATCTTCAGTTTCGACTCTAAAAATGGATACAAAGTTTAATAAATTTCAAGTCTTGTTTTAAATGTTACTACATTAACTTGACGAATCTTAAAATAAAGATTTAATGTTACTGTGCTGTTCTAGGCTTTAAAGGAGACATCTTCATTTGAAATAAATGCCTGAGGTCCTGTTAAAACGCCTGCAGCCAAGTCAGAACTGAAGCTTTTCTTTTCAGCCGCATCTTTTCTGCGTGATTTTTGAAGGGCGTTGTGAGACACTTGACTCCTCTCCCTTCTTTTCTGCTGCACAAAATGCTTTTGAAGAGAGATGCATAATTTGCACAAATTACCATAATGCCCAAAGACAACCTGCACCCCGGCGATTTATAAAAACACACATCAAACTGAGTGGAAAATAACGCTTGGCAAACCGTTTGAAAAAACAAAGACTTCCTTTTATTTTGTTGACAGTTTTGTCAAAAACATCAACAGTAATAAAGCTGAAGAAAACAATGTTTATTGTGGGTTCTGACATGTTAGAAGCCAGTGTCAGTGGGGCACTTGATTTAAAAAGAATACAACATAAAAAACAAGTCTCGCTTACACGCCCTCCATTTCTTACTGACAAGTTGTCAATCACATTATAATACAACACTTTACTAAAACACTTAACAACTCATGGAAATTAAACATGTAAAAAATAACATTTGAACACACAGCAGCAAGGTAAGAACTATGAAAAACAAAAAAGTTAAAATCTGCAAAAAAAAATCTAAAATGTATTTTAATGACGAAATTATCCTTATGGTTTACATGGAGGGACGAGACATAAAAACCATACTTCAGTCAGCCACTAGGGGGCTCTCCTCCTGTGTACCTTCAGCTTCTGACATTTAGTACTGTTTATATTTATATATAAAT